ACTGAGCTTGATGTAAAGAGGAAGGTGGTTTAAGATAATAGTTTCCATTCCAGCTTTTCTCTGACTTAATCACACTTACCAATATGCACAAACCAAGTCTCTCATTCCACAGAGTATGTTAATGAAAGTCTTCGAGGTAAAAAGTAAGGTAGCTATTTAAGGTTAGGGTTTCAGTAACTTTTTCTTGTTTAGCTGTATGAATACCCTGATCCATCCTCATTGGAGTTCTGCACACAAGTTGCTTTATGATGTTTGCTGGTTTCATAAATGATTTTTTTTGGGTTGGTTATGATAGGCTCCCTCTAAATATAGATTCTCTGTGATATTTTTAGAATCGCGGCTTCACTGCTAGTTCTTGTACAGGAGAAGAAACTTAACTGTCATAACAGAAAAACTGCAGACTGTTTGCTCAGCTGTCTTTTATCTGTGTCGCTATTTTGGAATTGTGGAAAAAATTCATATCCCTTCCCACATATCTGACACTGATAAGTAGGCAATGACCGTTCATTTAAAAAACCTAGTTCATGGTGTTGGAATTTTCTGAATTATGGTACTGGAAACTAAATCATCTAAATCATCTTTTTTTCCTTTTTTTCTTCCCCCCCTCTCCCCTGCCCTTTTTAAGCATGAAAAGTAGAGTGATTTTAAAGCATCAGTGAGAACTTCCTTTTGCTGTCCTGTATAGGAAGGAGTTTTCAGTGGGCTCTTTCCCAGTTTCTCAAAAGCTCATCATGTACTTGGACTCTATTTGATCAGAAACATGAGTGATCCAGAGCTCTGCAGTATCTTTTGCAAAGATGTGGTTAATATCTTGACTATGTAGATGCATTTTTGCCAATGAGGAGATTCTCTGAAAGTTATAGCCGTCTTCCTTCTTGCAACTTTCCGCTTCACACTAATGAAATATTTTGCTAGCCACAGAAGTCTCTTCTCCCCTACATGAAACATCTCTTTCTTCTTCCTTGCTCTACACTAAACCTGCCTCTCTCTGTAGAAGGCCCATAGATAGATCCCTGGGATGGTAAAGAACGGCTGCTATTGGGGCACGCACTAAACTAGGAGTTGTATGGCTTGGCAGGAGACCTTTTCAGTGCTTGAGGCCCTCTCTTTGGCATTTGCACCCCAAGGCAGGCCAGTATCTTAGCACAACGTGTATCCATCGAGTGCTACCACTTCCATCACTGCACTGAGAGTGAGAACAGCAGTGATCTTTCCACAGGGCTTTTTGCTGGAAGTCATGAAAACTTCTTTTCTGCTTGGAAAATACAATAGCCAGGAAAGTTGCAGTCTGCAGAATAACTTCTGACAATATTATTCTAATGCTGAGAAGAAACAAAGGAGGAGAATATATTATTATACTGGCTGCCAGACAAAAGGTTGTGTTTAAAAATATATGTGCCTCTTGAATATGATTTGTGACAGACATACAGCCTGAAGACTGGCATGTGACAAAGGGAAATCAATAAAAAATGCATAACGATATTATAAATATTTATAGAATAGCTAGATGAATACAATATGATGGAGAAGCCAAGAAGGCTTTTAGCATAGGAAACGTGTGCCTCTAAAATGTACTAAAATTCTTCCGAGAATGTTGAAATGGGATATAAAGGCATTACGTGGGCTGTCATTTGGATAGATGTTCACAACACCTTTGATTAAAATCCTTTATAAGCAACCAGGAAGAAAGCTTAGTCAAAGAGGCTAAGTAAAAGTTGGAAATGGAGAAGAGAAATAAAATGATGTTTTTCGGAAAGGAAGACGTTATTCACTGACCAGCCCAGTGAGAACATGTAGTATTGATCATAAGCTAATCCTAGGAAGGTAAAAAAAAAAAAAAAAAAAAAAAACTTCTGCCAGATTAAAATGAGCCAACATTGTCGAAAGATGAGGACTTTTCCTTGAGCCCTTAGAAGAGCGGGGTGGCGTGAAGAGTTTTCCTTAGCTGTATTGACGTAGTTACGCATCTGTTCCTGCGTAGGGCCATAAGTTATGCCCAAAGGAATGCAGCAAGAGGAATGCATGGGCAAGAGCGGAAGCAGACGGCTTCATTAAATATATGGAGGAATTTTTTATTGTGACCCATCTGTCCATAAAAGTTAGGCTTGACACTGGCAGATTCTGCTACTGAGATCTGCAAGAGAACTTAGGTTAGGGGGCTCTGCTTTGTTCATTCTGTGTCAGCGTAAGCCTTAAAAATAAGCTGAGGGTTTTATTTGGAAGAATTTGTTCTTTTCTTCTTGTGCTGCAAATGGCTGAGTTTCCTTGCAGCTTTTGTAGAGTGAGCAAAGTGCACAGTGAAAGTTACTGAAAATGGCAGAGGCTGGGCAAGAGTGTGGCTTGTTCTCCCCCCGAGGCAGTGAGGCCAGCAGAAGCCTCAGCAGCCAAGATGTCCGTACGTGGGGCTCAGGTAACTCCTGGACTGAGTTCTTGCTTCCAGAGTACCTTTCCCTGCTGCTTCGGCAGAGCACAGGTAGTGGCTGGGTCAGGGTACTAATTATCTTGGTGAAAAATGGATGGGCAGACAGCCCATGAGATAGATGCTGCCTAATTCGTTAGGGACTTTTTAAAGATAAATGGCCTTTAAGTAGGTTTGTTTTCAAGCGAATAGCCAGTAGAGTACCCAGAGCAGTGGCAAAGTGAGCTCTCATCGGTTTTTCTCAGTGATGGATGCTGCATGTTCTGTCCACTGATGCAGTCTTCTTCGCCACCAGGAGCCCCAATTTATTAATAGCTTTGAGGGCAATGACTGTAAATTACTGCAGTCCAGTTTTATTACTGTTCTACATCTACGGAGGACTGAACCCTTTATGCAGCTTCATATTCGTTCAGTGAGCACCATTAGAATATTGACATTTAGGCTTGTTTCGGTAGCATTAATCATAGCATTTTATCATGCATTAATTGCAGTTGTTTGAAATGACTGGAGTGCTCGCTACCTGTTCTAGAAGCAGGAAAGACAGTAATTAGTATTTTGCCACTTTGACATGCTGGGGAGGAAAGCATCCACTGCTTTCCTCCTTTGCATCAGCTGAGCAAGTACAAACTCACTGTTCTTACAGACCTTGCTGTGAGCCCTTGGAGATGTGATTTCTGAAAACTGACCTCTGACATCTCAGTGTGGATATCCTCAGCCATGGCCTGATCCTCAAATATATGTCTTAATATATAGTGAGATGCCACTTAATGTGCTAAAAAAGCTACATTCTGCTGTTCTCCCATATGCTGATATGGCTTAAGGTTTAAAGCAACACAGGAATGCTTTTTGTGATTTGCCTGCTGCAGCAGGTTTGCAGTGTCTGTGTCTCTTTGTATTATTTTGTCCATAAAAGAACCTGCTATGTTTGCAGGCGCTTTCAGTGGAGGGCATCACTGGGTGATTATGTTTAATATAAGGAGCTGGCAGCCTTTCTCACTTAACCATCATTAGCAGATCTGCTGCTGAGGTCCCATTTTGTGAGGCAGCTGGAAATTGGTACTTAGTTGGAATGTATTGTTTTCCACCTTTATCTCTAAGTTCAAGGACAAGGCAAAACTGTTTGGAGTAAGCAAAGAAAAAGGTTTTGTCCATTTCTGTTTACTTCCAGTCTTTTTTAGGTAAATTTGCTGTTGGTATCTTCCCTATTATGTGATATGCATGGGCTAAATAGAGGTGTGGAGCGTATTGGCCAAGATGCAAATGTGGAACACAAGGGAAGGTAATCGACTAAGGATCACACACAAGAGGCTTGTGGTAAACACATAGGCATTTTATCCAAGTAAAAATGCTCTAGGTCTCTAGTGGTGTAACTCTTGACATTACAGTGGAGTCCAATGCTGTTGTCTCCAATTATGGATGAGAAAGCTAAGGCATGAAGTGCTTCTGTAGATAAGGTCAAAATGATTCAGAAGGTGAGGGGCAAAATAGTGGTGCCCTAGTCTCCTATTTATCCAACATTTTTATCCTACTTTATCCAGCAGCTAGTTATTTTTAAATTACTGTCTTTTCCCCAGCCTGCTATTCCAAAACATTCCTGCACCTTCATTACATCAGTTTGATCATTTATTTTTCCCTTGTAGTGTCATATGACTTTCTGCCATGTTCAAAAGCCCCAGAGTCCTTTTAAAAGAACCTTTTAGTGATAGAGGATCTCCTTTATTTATTTATTTCGAATTACCATGCCTGCATGTGACCAAATAATGCTTGGTTAACCTGATTGCCCAAGAGTTTCAAGCGCTATATACAGGGGAAACCTGTATTCCTGTATGATAGGCAAGATATTTAGGGAGTAAAATAATGCAAATCCCAGCACAAACAACTCTTAATAAGATGTCCAGGTCGTATTTTCTCTTTAAAACCAAGGTTTGGGATATCTTGAATCCTTTAGTGTTAAGAAATTTTATATTTGTAAGTATGTAAGCACCCAAATAAGAGGCTAGAGTTCGCTTTTGGCCCAACTGCCTTTGATTTGAAGCTCCTTGGGCATGGCCTTTTGTTCCGTGTTTGTAATGTGGCTGCCGCAGTGCGAAGCTTTGAGATGATGTGAAAGTGTAGGAGCAGAAACCAGGATAAACCAGGATGTCAGCAGGAGTCCTGCAGCCACTGGGAGAACGGACTATTGAACCTAGGTTAGAGACAACTTAATTCCGTCAGCCACAGCCTCCCCTGTTAATAGAGGCTAAGGCTGAGCTAATATCAATAAATGTTGTATCCAGACCTCAGCAACTAGCAGGAGATTAAACAAGGGAACTGTATAGATGAGGGGTCCTGTCAAGGATGGCCTTGAGTGGATAGCAATCTCTTCCAAATTAAAAGGTTTTGCTGCAAGCCTATCAAGTAAAAGGTGCCTAATGAAGCTCCGGCAGCTTCTCTCTCTGTAAATGATGAAAGCTAAGAAGCAAGGAAATTAGTGAAGTTGCTTCAAGATTCTTGGATGAAAATTAAATAGGGAAAAGGCAAAATAAAGAAGCGGGGGGGAAATCAATATTCTTGCTAATAAGAATCAACATTTTTCTTGCAGGAAACCTGAAGTTCTGCCTTCTTATTCTGAACCAGCCTTTCAACAAAGGTCATTTTCATCGTCTGTGGAGCAATGGTAATAACAACTTACATATCTTTTCATTTGCTTATTTACTTAGCTGCTACTCAGGTAACCTGCTTTGTGGCTGTTGAATTGCTATATGGCAATTTCCTCTAACTCGAGCAACCTTCCTGTGTGAATTGGCAGAATATGTCCCATGCTGCTGAATGCAACAAATGAGCTGATAATGCAAATTTTGCATCTCCGCACCCCTTACGTCAGCAGGAGCATTATGGACTGATGTATGTTAGAGCCTGTAGCTTTTGTGGTATAGGAACGGTCGTTGTTTGGCTGGCAAAGTGCTGTAGATCAATGCTGTGTTCATGAGTTGGAGGCGAGCGTTCCTTTAAAGGTCATCAGTGAAATGTGTTAATTTTAATCAAAATAAAATGAACCGGGCAGATCCTGTGTTGGGAAAGCAGTGGGAATTGGTGTGCCTGTCAGAAATATGCAAAGCAGATTTCCCTACCCCTTTGTTTAATATGCACAGTGCTAATCATCTCTGCTATGATAGCTGCAAATATACTGACATTTTGTGGAGCTATATAAATCTTTACAGACTTGGAGCTATTAAATCCTCCACTGCAGAAATGTGGTTCTTTAGAAGCTTTCTGCTAAACCCCAGGAACTGTCTCTAACTTGTTCCCGGGCTTGGACCCTTGCAGAGAGATTCCTCTTAACTGATGGGGACAGACAGAGCTATTTAATTCCACCAGAGGCATAAGAGTTGGTGGGGGGCTGGCTTTGCATTTAAAAGGAGTTGGAGTAAAAGCTGAAGAGGGGAGGATCATATCATCTAATTGCAGCAAACCTGAAGTAGGTACTTCTGCAGTCATAGGAGGGAGAAAAGGAAGGAGAGGCTTGTGTAGAGCAATTCAAAACATCCAAACTAGCACCATACCCCAAATGGGCCCTTTTTCACTTGGAGCATTGGCAAGAAGTGCTGAATTGGAGGGCTGTCAGATGTATTATCTAGATATGATTTTAAATATATATATATATTTAAAAGATATGCTGGAAGGACATACCTTGCATTGAATATTGAAGAGAAGAATTAATCTTAATTCCCTGGCCCGCTTTTCCTATGTTTTGAGGCTAGAGGTTAGAAAACAGAAAGCAAGCCAGACACACGCCCAGTTACAGAATGGCAGCGTTCAGGGCATTGCAGTACCCTGCACGTGTGGCTTTTAAGCTGTGCTCCTTTACAGCAGACTTTTTTGTGTCAATCTTTGGAAATTTCAGTCTTTCTCTTGCAATCAGATGTGTGCAGGCTGGTTCTTGGGGCATGGTGTGCTCCTTACTGCAACGCTGATGGACCTTTCAGTGCAGTGCTTCAGTGAAGGGCTGGAACAAGAAGTTGAACACAATCGAGTGCAAGTCAAATGTCTTGATTGAGACTTCAGCACAATTGGTTCCTACCCTCCGAGCATAACTGCATTGAAAGGAATTGCCAGAATTGCTGGTGCTTTAGATGGCTTTTCAAAGCATCCGAGCGAGGCAGGAGCTCAAGTCCTGTTTATGCTGATAGGACTTTTGCTGGTAGGTTACTTAAAGATGCAAATGGGAATTTTCTGTCCAAGCAGAATGAGAGAAAAAAATGTTGACACAGTGAATCTGATTTATTTATTTATTTATTTATTTATTTATTTTCTCGAAATCATTTCAACTTCAGTATTTCTCAGTTCTGAATCCAGGCAGGGTTCTGACAACACCTGACTGACAATCATAGCGAGCTGCTATAGGTATCAGCAGTCTTGAGGCTCCTGGACCCTGGCTGTGGATGTCTCTGCAAGTAGACAGCTGAGGACTAGGAGACTGTGGGGAGTTTGTGAATTAAAACAAATTATGAAAGAATGAAAAAAAATCAGAAACAGTGTTTACTGATCAGCTGCATTTGCTTGAGATCTCATAAAAATGCTGTTGTGTGTAAGTAGTCAGACGGAACAGATGGGGCTCTTGATCGACAAGAATACTGCCATATATGTAGGTTGGGGAGGGAGAATTGCGCAGAAATAGCGATGGGAGAATATTGGACTAACTTCTTTAAGTTACAGCAATCTTGGCTTTTACATGGGGTAGAGAATGCAGATACAGATGTGTTATTTTTCAAGTATGTTGTGTCCTCCTATCAAAATAGCTTGCTTTATTAGCCCTGTCACTTTAACATCAAGTAAGAATGAAGGTGTGATATTATGTGTCCTAAATTAAAAAAAAATCACTTGAATAAGTGTGTCCCTTCTAGGCTAAAATCATCCCAGGTGTAACTTCTTTTGACCTCAAGCAGAAGTGGTTGTAGCTAATTAGCCTTTGTTTTAGCACAGACTTGCATGAAATCTATTTTTACTGACATACTTTGAAAAGAACTATTTCTAGCTGTGCAAGTTTGCACAAACTTCCTTTCCTCTGCTTTGTGAAGGACGCCAAAATCTGATTTCTTTGCTTACAGGGGACAGTTACAGCTTTTACTGCTCCCACTGTACAAGCAAGCTGAGTTGTAGCAGTTAAGAAGGTAGTGTAGGCTAAAGACTACCATGATTTTTTATTTTCTACCTTCTGTTGCTGCATCTTCACTTGTGCCGTGTACAGTCTTTGGCTTGACTATGGTCATTACTTTATTGCTGACAGTTATATTCATTATTGTATAACCAAAGAGCCCATTCGGAATAATTTTTTTGCCCTCGGTACAGTCATATAGGATTAGACGTCCCTGCCCTAAAGGCAGAATGAGTGAAAGGTTGGAGGAAGGATATTGTTCATAAGCCAAATGAGGAATAACATGGATAGTTCAGTGATGGGATTTTGTGGGAGTTGGGTATGGTAAGAAGCGGGTAAAATAAATGAGAAGAGAAATTGTAGAGATCACTGAAGGGGCATAGATAAGGAGGTCTCTCTTATCAGTGAGGCTGATAGAAACAAACTGGACATGAGAAAGTGAGGTGAAGGCAGAAGATTGGAAGCAGACTAGCCATAAGCACAAACAAGGCAGGGAACACCAATCTAATCCATCAGAAAGGCTCCAAATTTGTAAATGGCTTTGATTTACCCATTTCTATAGCCAGTCCCACCAGTGGAGGTGTGTGGCTTCCCTCGCAATTCTTATCCAAACCACAGAAAATGTGTGTCTGCTTTTTGCAGTTGCACGTTTCTGGGCCTGGGTGATGGTTCATAAGGAAGAGTTGACCTAGTGGGGCCTTACTTTAACCCTGTCATACACCATCAACCCCTGTGCATATTTTTAATGGTATTTCTAGCTCTTGGTCCCATTCCTGTTTTCCAAAAAAATGGTAAGAAAGAAATCAGTTTCTCAGCAGTCTCTAGTGCTGCTTTGCAAGTGGTTTGAAGTATAAGTATATTTCAACAGAACTGAAGGTCTGAAACTGTCTCTACATTAGGTTTCAATAGCTAGCAAGTCCATGTTTTAGAGGCTTAAAACAATAAATGCTTTCTGGCGAGTACATCAAAGTTCCTGAGGTTTAAATTCATCTGTTTAGTATCTCTGTAGATGGAAATTTAGTCACTCGTTTCTACCAAGAGCTTCAGCAATGGCTAACACAATTTTGAGTGCTTTGTGTTTTAATGCCTTCCTAGTGAAGTATCAGTAAAGGGACAGAATTACTGCAGTGCTGACAGAGCACCTGTGTAAAATGTCTCAAGTTCAGGGTCTGAAAATTGTTCCTTGTATCAGAAAGCACTGCCCTTACAAGCTGCGATGCTCAGGTGATCTGGAGTTGCCTGCATGTCCTCCCTGGTAGGATGGTAGCTTGCTAAATGGCTCTGCACTGTAGGATCCTTTCTGCTCTTAGACTGTTGACACTGAGAGCCATAAAGAGTAACTGAAAAGTAAGGCTGTTATTTAAAGTTGGAGTAATATGGCAGTGCTCCCCAGCAAATTGATGAAGTTTCCATTCAGTGCCATATTTCTGGGAATGGCAGGCTTGCTGTTAAATAGCATCTTTGCATTTGCTAGTAGAGGGAGATAGATTGCAACAGAATTTTTCCTCAGGTTGCCTCTAACCTCCAGCTAAGTGTTCTTCTGTCCATGGATTTACTGATAAATGCACTCGCAGGATTAAATTATTGGTTAATCCAGTCCTGCCTGGCTGGAGAGGTTTGCTGTTACAGTTGTGCTGTACGGTCAGAAGGCATTTTTGTGGGTATTCTTCAATCCTTACAACTGTTGTGTGGTAAGGATTACAAGGACTAGCCGCTGTACCTTCCTCACAAGAACTGTAATTTCTTCCTGAAAGTAATGACTATCCCGGAAAGCTGCAAATCAGGCCGAACAGGTTGAACTACTTTAAATATTAGTCATTCGTTCTACAAAATGCGTGTACTTGGCTGATAAATAAAAGTAAACTATCGACGTTCTTTTGGATTGGGCTGACTGCATCCTGACTTGTGGGATGCATATTTAATATTGGATAAGCAGATGGGAAGGAGACATGAGAGTATCAATACCTTCTGTTTTAAAGTCTCTGAGACTGGGCTGTGAAAATTTATGTTCTCAAGCAGCACTTCCCTTAAATATTCTTTTCCAGGAAGTATTAATTTTATTAAAGGGATTTGGGGTCCAGCAATGTTTCCTTACTCTGCTGTCCTGCCAGCCACTTCTCTATAGGCATGATCAGTAGGCAGTTTGTGATGCTTTGTAGATGACAGATAAGAAGGTGCTCCAGAAGGAGGAAAACTTGCAGGTTACTCTAGATTGCTCTAGAGTGTGTTAAGAGAGCAGAAAGCAGACTTGGGTATAGAATACCCAAATCTGAACTTGCGTTGGACTGTCTTCATTTAACTCATACATTTTTGAGACTACATCTGTTATGAGTGCTTATCCAAAACCGAGTTTTGTCAAATTTCCATCCTTATTAATACCACTATTTCAACCATCAAAATAGCTGTCAGATTTAAAAAAAAATTTTTTTTTGAATATGAAACAACTTACCTGTCAAGATCAGCCTCCTGTTTGGTGATCATGCTGCTTACTGCTCAGCACCTGAAGGTGATTGTATTACATCCTTTTCTTGAAGTCATCAAGTGGGGAACAGCGCTCACAAATTTCAGTCTTTGAA